TCGAGATATTGATTATATACCTCCTAAAGGATTATATGATCCACGTTGGCTATTAGCTGGAAAATATGATTCAGATAATTGGATTAGTGGATTTTTTGATCGAGAATCTTTCGTAGAGACATTAGGTGCTTGGGCAAAGACAGTGGTAAGTTTAAAATAACAATGTTGCTAGGGTAATATATAAAATTAAAAAACTTTTTTTAAAAAAGGTGGTTGGTCGTGCACGTCTTGGTGGAATTCCCATGGGAGTAATTGCAGTTGAAACTCGTACAGTAGAGCATATAATACCAGCAGATCCAGCTAATTCAGAGTCTCAACAAGAAACTATTATGGAAGCAGGACAAGTTTGGTATCCAAATTCAGCTTATAAAACAGCACAAGCAATAAATGATTTTAATAAGGGAGAACAACTCCCTTTAATGATATTTGCAAATTGGAGAGGATTTTCAGGTGGTCAACGTGATATGTTTTTAGAGATATTAAAATACGGATCATATATTGTTGATGCTCTTATAGATTACAAACAACCAGTTTTCGTTTACATTGTGCCAAATGGAGAACTTCGTGGAGGAGCATGGGTGGTAGTTGATCCAACAATTAATGAAAGTATGATGGAAATGTATGCGGATGAAAAGGCTAAAGCAGGAATTCTTGAACCGGAAGGTATTGTTGAGATAAAATATCGAAATGCACAGTTAATTTCTACAATGGAACGGTTAGATGAAACATATAGAAAACTTAAAAAATCATTAGAAGATCCTTTAAAAACCGAAGTAGAGAAAACTAAAATTGAAATACTTTTAAAAGCTCGGGAACAAGAATTACTTCCAGTATATTCTCAAATTGCTTTACAATTTGCAGAATTACATGATACACCTGGTAGAATGAAAGCCAAAAATGCGATTCGCAAAATTTTAGAATGGAAAAACGCTAGAAGATTCTTTTATTGGCGTGTGAAAAGACGTTTAAATGAAGAATATATGTTTAAAAAATTAAGTACCATTAATCCTAGCTTTACAAGAAATCAAATAAAGAAATATTTAATGGAATGGTTTCATAATGATTTTGGGACAGAATTTAATTGGGAAGAATCGGATTTTAAAGTTGCAAAATGGTTTGACGAAATGCTTGAAAATTTTAATGATAATGAAAGAAACGAGGGTAATGATATTATTAGTATAAAATCTACTAGCAAAAAAGAGTTAATAAATTTAAGAATCAAAAATATTAAGAATGAAATGATAACAAAAAAAGTAGTTGACCTAGCAAAAATAAATCAACAGGCAGTAATAGATGGAATATCTAAAATATTAGGAAGTTTAGCCTTGGTGGAAAAAACAAATATTTTGGAAAAGTTGGATAAAACTTTAAATAATTAGTATCCAATGTTATCCATTATTCTTATATTCATGAAGATAATAAGCTGGTATAATTCATAATAAATTCATTTAATTATATAATAAAAATTATTATTGTTATTATTATATTTTTTTTCTGCTACATATGTAAAAAAAAAAGACTATAAGGAAATATGGCCATTTCAATTTAATATATTGATTTCATAGCATGAAATTTCTAAATGGACCCAACCGGCTTGTTTTTTTTTTGATTTCATATAAATATTCTTTTAAAACCCACTCAGTTATTAAGCATATAAAAATGGTTATTAAAAATTTAGAAATGAAAATAAATTAATTAATTTTGCATGGCCTAAATTCCGACAGTCAATGTTCATATTGTAGAGATTAGAACCGCCTAAACTTTTATAATCGTTTAACCGTTAATTTAGCCAGAATTAAAATAAATAATTATGGCCATAACCAACATAATTTGGATTCGAACTATGCGTATGAGAGGATGTTGTTGATTTTGGATATTATTAAAAATAAATGTTAAAAATATTAAATATATAATAAATTTGAATTTTATGAATTTTATGATTCGTTGATTGTTTTCTGAGTTATGAATGCTCATGAAGCCGTCATGAAACTGTTTATGAAAACGTGATAAAATTAAACATTTTGATTGTATTTGATTGGTTAATTGTATACTTGCTCATTAATATTTTTGATATAGTAATGCTGCGCAATATATTTTTAGTATTTTGAGTTATTATATACTTCTATTGTATGAATTGATTTTTAATGATCAAGATATTCCCACCGAAAATTTTCGCCATACGAGTAATTTTTAAATGGTTAAACGGTTCAGATCCTTACGTAACAAATACCTTGACTTACTCCTAACCCTAAAGATTTCATTACACTTGATCTTTCGATCTAAATCATGAGAGGTGAATTTTTAGCGGTTCCGTTCATTTTATCGACGATCAGTTCACCGACAGTCATTTCACTGACAAAGTAATTCTGGTCATTGCCGTTAGGGTCAGGTTAGAATTAGAGTTAAGGTTAACGTAATTTAAAAAAAACTTGTCTATGAAACTTACTGTCGGTGAATCGTATTGTCGTGAAGTCGGTGAAATGAACAGGATTCTTTTTTAGCTACCCATGAAAGATCGACGTAGGTGCACCAACCAGATTTCTTCTAACAATCGACTTCTATTAAACTGCTTCTGCGCTCATAGGAAGAAGTTTGTCTAATTGGCTAATAAATTCAGTTTAATTTTACATTATTTATATACTTTTTAAAAAACGGAAACCAACCATAATAAAGTAAAAAAAAAAATCCATATAGAAGGTTTCATTAGAGCTATAGGACTCCATAGCCAAAATAATATCCAATTCTCGTCCGTTTAAAAAAGTTAGTATGGTAATAACTTCTCAAAACCCGACAAAATCGACTTATTACTAAGCTAATTTTTTTAAACAGACGAGAATTAGATCTTATTTTTGACTATAGCTCTAATGAAACCTTCTATATGGTTTTTTTTTTTTACTTTATTATGGTTGGTTTTCGTTTTTTTAAAAAAGTACTCTAAACTGTATAAATTGTGTAAAATTAAATTAAATTTATTTGCCAATCAGATGAATTTCTGCCTATGACTTCTGCGCACTAACGAAAAAGATTCGCCGTAAAATTTCGGTATAATATAAGCTCTTGTTCGGTCACAAACCTAACCTTAACATAAGGTTTTATTACATTAAAAACAATTAATTTAATTAGTGGGGAGAGCTACCAACTATTTGTAAATCAAGGCTTTTCACGTGATCGATTATTCAGGAATGGTTTTTAGCCTCACTGCATTAGTGCGTTGTGGATGATGCTAAATAATCTAGCACGATTACTCCCGCCAGAACCTGGTTGTTCGTTTAAATGATGTTTCTTATCGCTATTGTTCTTGGACCAAAATTACTCGATTTGGTTTAGCGGATCAAATTATATTACGCCACAACACATTTATATTAAATGTCAGGAATGATGCTGAAATCGGATGATGTTGAAATTTTAAAATATTTTTGGGGATGCTTTGTTTGGCCTTTTTTTTATTAATAAGGCCTCAGATTTCAGCATCATCCCCGACATTAAATATTTAACGTTAGGTACTACTATACCGGGTTGGTGAACAGTAACTGGACAGTGACCTTTTTTAATCGCTGATATACTATTAATTATCACTTAACGCTTATCGTTATACCAGCATTACATAAATATAATAAATAATTAATATTATCGGAGATAATAATAAAGGTCACTGTCCAGTTAATTTTCACCAATCCGGTATAGATCATGTTATCCAGAGTCCAGAAATCTGCGATGGCAGAATCTGTGCGGAATTCTGCTCTTGTCCTACTCGCCGAATAATAATCTATTGGTAGGTACATTCTATTGTGTCTAGAATTAGACTTTCTTTTGGTTTGATTTTTTTTTCTGATTTTGTTCTTAAAGTATTGTTTATACGTCGCCGCAGAAATTGTCAATTTAACGGAAATCCGCAGCAGAAATTTTCAGGTAGAGTAACAAAAATTCTGGACACTCTGATGATATCATGGTCTTTAACTTGCAAAAATCGAGAGATATGGCTTGAATGCAGTAGCATTGTGTCATTCATCATCTCACTATTGACCGCATGACGGGATTTACGATTGATGTTGTTGATCACAATTATCATAAATTTTTTTCCTATCACTATTAATTATTCCCCTGGGCTTATTAATGGTTTCTCTCAGAGCTTCCCAAAATAGAAATGAAGACAAGGAATGTATAGAAGTGATTGATAACGCGAGTCTCCCCTCATATCATCATATGAAACGATAAATAACATATTTATTATATGGGATTTTGCCTCATATATGCTTCGAGGAATTATGTGTACGTACCGGGACACAGGACATAATAAATGCTGGCCGTCCAAAATATCGTTTTTTATCTATATAAATTAAAAGTAATATATCAATAAAAACAATAGCATTAAATAGCTAACGCTAATAGATATTTTTTGTTTTATTACGCATCAAAATGACACTTTGGATGACCGGCATTTACAATTTGCCTGCTGGGAAATAGACAGTCACATGATTCATAATAAATAGCTCTGGTCATAATTAAATCCTGTTATTTGTAATCCTGTAATTTGTGAAACAGTATTGTGTTTATTTGTTAAACGAACTCCGAAAGTATTATAAATAGCTGCAATACGTAGTACGTAAAAAAAAAAAGTTACCCCTTTAAAAATGATGACATTACCAAACGAATGCCTTTCCGAAATATTTATTAACCTTAAAGATTATCATAGAACTTTATTTTCTTGCCTTCTAGTAAACCGTCAATGGTGTAGAAATGCTGTACCGATATTATGGAGTGGCCCAATTTCTTTTAAAAATCGTAAATTTATAAGAACTTGTCTTTTGGAATTAAACACTGAAGAACAATCTCGCCTAATACCTTTTAGAATTATACTTCCAAATGGTCCAAAACCTCTGTTTCAATACACTACTTATATTACTATCATTAAAATTGATTCTGATGGTGGAATCATAAATTGGCTTAACCATCAAAGACGTAGACATTGCGACTTAGCTTGCGCAAGAAGTGTGAATACTATGAATGCTGTAAATGTTATTCAAACTATTAGGTGCTCCTTAATTATAATGTTTCTACGAACAAGTAAGAAACTTAAAGATTTAAGCATTTGTGGCAAAACAGTAAATTTATTGTCAAATATTCTTGATAAAAGTGTTTCTCTTACTTCTTTGAAATTTTCGAATAATAAACTTGATTTTGATGAAATTAAGATCCTAGCAAAAGTTCTTCATAGGAACAATACTTTAACCTCTTTGAATATTGTAAATAATCAACTTGGTATTGAAGGTGGAAAATTATTGGCTGATGCTCTTTCTAAGAACAAAACCTTGTCTCTCTTGAATATTCATAATAATCAACTTTATGCTGAAGGTGGAAAGGCTTTCGCAAAAGCTCTTTGTAAGAATAATACTTTAACTCATTTAAATCTTTCGAGTAATCATCTTTATCCTGAGGGTGGAAAGGCTTTAGCTACTGCTCTTTATAAGAATTCTACTTTAACTCATTTATACATTTCGAGTAACCATCTTGACTCCGAAGTTGGGAAAACACTAGCTTCCGTTCTTTATGTTAATACTACTTTAACCCATCTGAGTCTATGGAATAATCAACTTGGTTCTGAAGGTGGACGAGCTCTTGCTGAAGCTCTTTCTGTAAATAAAACTCTAACGTATCTAAACATTTGGAGTAATCAACTTGGTTCTGAAGGTGGTAAAGCTCTAGCTGAGGCTCTTCGTAAAAACTCTACTTTAACTTTTTTAAACCTTCATAATAATCAACTTGGCTCTGAAGTAGGAAAAGCATTTGCAAAAGCTCTTTATAAAAATACTACTCTAGTTCATTTGTATCTTTCAAGTAATCTTTTTGATTCTGAAGTAGGAAAGGCTCTAGCTTCAGTTCTTTGTGTCAATACTACTCTAACTCATCTGAGTCTTTGGAATAATTATCTTGATTTTGAAGTAGGAAAAGCATTCGCAGAGGCTCTTTATAAAAATACTTCATTGACTTTTCTAAATATTAGCGAAAATCAACTTGGTTCAGAAGGCGGAAAAGCGATAGCGGAAGCTCTTTGTAAAAACTCTACTTTGACTTCTTTAAATATTAGTAAGAATCAACTTGGTCCTGAAATTGGAAATGTTTTTCAAGAGGCTCTTTATAAGAATACAACTTTGACCTCCTTAAATATCAGTAAAAATCATCTTGGTTCTGAAATAGGAATAGCGTTAGCAAAGACTCTTTGCAGTAATACCGTTCTAACTACTTTAGAGCTTAATGACAATAAAATTGATGTTGCTACTTTATATATGATTAATAAGTTGCTTATAAGAAACAAAGAAAATTTCTAAAACTGTAAGTCTTCATACTTTTGCATATAATTTTTGTATAAATAGATAATTGCAATATTTTAAAATTTTATCCTTAATTAGATTCTCATTGATTAGGATCAGTCTTTTGTTCGAATAAAAGGGAATGCCTTCTATGAGAAAAAAAACAATTTTAAAAATACATGTATATATTTCATATTTGAGTTGTAGCTAATAAAAGACAGGCTAAGTTACGTGTAATTATATCCAAGGTTTAAAAAAATTTTATCAGATCACATAATTTGGCCTGACTTCTATTGCCTGTAGTTCAAATATTTATCATTCTTTTTTTTTTTTTTTTGCATTAGAATAAATAGTATTCTTTTTTTGGCATTCGAATTCTATACAATTATATAATAGATAGTTATTCAGCAACAATAACGTAGTCCGCCGAATAACAATTTTTGAAATAGTTAGGTTCGAATAACCACAGGACAACATTTTTTTAAAAAAAATTTATTTACTAACAATGTTCTTTACAAACAAGGTAGTATTATTAATTTTAAAAAGTTTACAGTTTATTATATTAGGATTTTACTAACCCTTTTTTTTTACCTTAGAGCCAAACTTATTTTCACCAAAATTCAAGGCTAAAATGTCACTTTTTGTAAAGTCATCTATTAATCATTTCGTATATCGGATCAAATTGATTTACTAAGATTTAAAAAAGCTAAGATTTATGTTTTTATAAGGAACGTTCCTTCAAAATCAAGATGGTTATCCAAAAAAGTTGGATATTCTAGAATCAAGTTGACTATTTGATCATTCTAAATCTCGTCTTGAGTGTGCCGTAATATTGAAACTTCCTTATTGCTAAATAATCTGCTTGGTATTACTGCGAACGAATTCAACACCAAATTCAAGCTTCAACAACTCCGAGAACAGAAATTTTGCTCGAAAAACATTATTTATAAGGTCATTCATCTGTCCAAAGTGCCAGCACGCCTAAGCATTGACTTCGACATCTGCAGTTCTTAATCCAATTACTCCGATAAACTTACCTACGCAACAAAGTTATAAGTGCTCGAAACTCATAACCATTGAAACTCGTGGTTGTATACTCTTCACAATGCAGTTATAAATGAGTGGATCAATGCAGTATATTTTATACAATGCCACCATTTTGGTTTACGACGCTTTTACATTTTACCGTTTTTATGGAAAACGGTTCGGCAAGTGTATTGACCCTTTAAATGAATTACAGTCGACCCGGTATGCATGGTGGACAGGTTTTGTATCAGTTTTGAGAGATTATCGGATTTGAAATCATTATAAACTATTAAATTCATATAACGGAACGGACTTGGTGGATCAATTTTTGATCGATTATAACAGGTTATCGGTTTTGACAGGATCGGTTTGAAAGGGTCAACTGTATAAGAGTTGCCGGTGATGATGATTCCCTTTCACTGAACAAACATGATTATCCGAAGGGCGGAGATGGGCTGAATCATTATTCTTACAAATGTTTTTCTACAGTAAATTGTGTCATGTAGTTGTTATAGCTTTCGTCACCATAGGATAGATGTTATACTTTTCCAACACTGCGTATAAGTGATTAAAGCATTGTCCAAATCGCTTTTACTATAATGTTAAAAACTTTTTAAAGAAACTATCTTGGACAAAGTCAATATTATTATTAATGTGGACCATTACTGGGATATTTTTTTCACGCAGCATATGTTTTAGAACTTGTATATGCCCTGAACTAAACATAATTGATAATTTGTAAAATATAAATAACGGATTATTGTTATACCCATAATTTTACTATTTACACCCACTTATTTAAAAGTTATATATCTATTTGGTATCTATTGTTATCTGTTTAAATATTACTAATGTTTAGCTTTTTGTATATGCTATAATAACTTTGATATGTATATCATGTCAAATTTATAATTATCTTAATCCTATAACATTTAGAAGTATTATTTAAAATTTTAGTTTTATTCTCATTTAGTTAAAAAAATTTTAGCATATATTTAAACAAGCCATGATTTAACTTGGTATTGTTGTTTAATAAATATTATAATCAAAAAAGGCAACTCTTAATCTTGCTATTAATGCAAGTAAAGGATATGAAAATAAATTTAATAAAGAATTTAAACTCTCAAAACGATTTCTAATATTTTTTTAGACGTCTGTCATGTTTTTAGGCCTCTTTCTAGACTATATATAATGACAACACTGATGTCGCTTGGCAAAGCCTGAACAAATATTTGAAACTGTAAATATGAGTTATGCTTTCAAACACACTAAAGGGTTATGAAATAGAATTTAGTAAGTTATCATCCTTTTGGCAACCGAACAAGGATACATATTTGCTAAAAATAAAATTATCTGTAGTCTGCATAATATAAATATGTTGAAATAAAATAATGCTAATAAGAAAAAAACAATAAAAAACCAAATTTTGTAAAAAATTCAATTTTATATACAAATATATGTTGTGCCCCAAATAACAATCTGGCCCAGATTGTTACTCAGAACAGCCCAAAATATCAATTGACCAAATTTGACCCTAACTCCTGGGTTTAAATTAATTTTTTTTTAGCAAGGTTAATATTTAGAACAAATTGCATTGGTCAAATTAAAATTTTCGACATGTCGAATGATACCATTAAACAGCCATTCAGTATGCCATTCGACCAAACATGTAAATTTTTCCCAACTGATAGTTGAATGGCATATTGAATGGCTGTCGAATAGTGCAGGTTGCTGAATACACAAAGCCAAATCCTTCTTTGTAGCAAAAAAAAAGTTCACAAAAGTTGCAACTAATTCCAAAAAATTACTAAGTTGCAACTTTGCAAAGGCATCTAATCTACACCAATTGAAATATAATCATTTGCCATTCCTAGCATAACCCTAATAAAAGAAGTGTCAGTTCTGTGACCTCTAAGTCATTTATTCTAAGTGGAAATAAAATCTAAGTAGATTTAGAATTTTCAAATGAAACCAACATTTTGGATTAATTTTAGTGTTGCTCGCTGCAAATATGAATTGCGACTTTTTTATAGTGCAACTAGGGTTGCAACTTATTGTCACAATAGATGTAACTATTTTAATCTAATAAATTATGATCTTCTTGTAATGATTACAATATAAATAAGCTGTAAAGTTTAAGTTGTAACTTTGTAACAATCAAGTCTAGTTGATTTTATCATATGAACATCCTTACTCTAACTCAAATCCACTTAAATTTTGTTTTACTTGGAATGTAGTATATTATATCCAATTTAATATTAACAATAAATTATGGATTTGAGCATTTGATATAGAGGTCACAGGACCAATACTTTTTGTAAAGTTAATACCCCTGGTAGAAGCACATTCTACATTTTACTAAATAAGTTATGCTATTGTTAAATGTGGGTTTAGCATATTTAATTATTTATTTCTGATTATTGATGCAACTCAAACCCTATAGTTTTATCAAATATCAAATTCCAAATTACTAAAACTAGTTTGAGATTTTACAGTTCCAAATAGCAACAATATTTTCTAGTATAATTTTTAAATATTAACAATATTCTAAATTACTAAATGAAGTTAAAACAGTTTGGGTTATATTAGTAAATCCGTCATTATAAAATAATTACAGAGCATGATTCAAAAAACATATTCTAGAATATATTACTCAAAAAATTTGTTAGTAATTTAAATAAGACAATAAAGTGATATTAAATCCAATTAAATAAATTAGTAATTAATTAATTATGAAAATTAGATTACACAGTTTATCTCTAACTAGTTTATAATTAACTTTTTAGTTTTATTTGTTAATCTAACAAGTATAAATAAATTATTAATTGATAAATATAAATAAAATAAATAATAAAAATAAAGCATGATCTATACAATTATATTAATAGTATATTATATTAAGCTTACTGCTTTAACAAAAAAAACTCCAAAACAATATAGTAACTAATTTATTGATATTTATATCTTGTTTAAAGATTTAAAGTTAGCTTAGTAGATAAATATAATTGTTGCCTAATAAGTTAATGGTTGTTAACTATTATCTTGTAATTAACATTTAATTAAATATAATCAATGATTATTCTATAAATAATTAACATATATTTAGAGATTTTGTAACTAAAAAACACTTTATATAAGACCTCTAGAAGGGTTAATATATGGAGTGTTAACTATATTTTTTTGATAATTATGAGCAATAGCTTAGTAAATAAATTAGTTTTATATATATTCTAGTTTAGCAATCTATACACCTATATTCAGTAATATTTATCTTATAAATTAATAGATTAACAAATTGTATTTAGTTAACTTTAAAGTTAATTGTTTAGTAAAATAAATTATTTTGCTTGAATTTTAATTTAATATAGTAATTCATTATTTATTACCTATTTATTATTGCTATTATAATCTTTTCTTTGTTATGCTTTCCAGTTATCTTAAATTAGTCTTTAGTTATTCTTATATTTTCTTTATTTTAGCTAGTTTCTTAATTATACTAATATAAATTTATATAAATCTGAATTGTATAGTACTACCAAAAATTCTTTAAATAACAGATTCACACTAACATCTTTTAGAATTATAGATTAATTATTATAATTTTCAATTTTAACATATTTGTTAATATTTTCTAATAGACATATTGCTAAACAATTCTTTAAATGATGTAATTTACAAATTTGTACTAAACTATTTTTAGAGAATTATAGATTAATTATCATTTTAAGAATAATATAAATTAATCTGTATTATTATCAAAATAAAAAATATTATATGATATAAAACCTGATAATATAAAAAATAATATAAATTGTTTATATACTAATAATTAGTTTTTGGAAAAAAAATAGTTCTTTAATAAATTAATAGGTTTTATAAGATGCAAAAAGAAAATTTATTTATTTTATATACTAATAATCAGTGTTAAAAAATAAAATCTTTAATAAATTAACAAATTTGTATTTTTATAATTATAGAATAAAGATTTTTTTAAAGAAAAATTCATTCAAATGATCTTTTGTTGTTTATCTTATAGTTAAAGTTTAAGATTTTTACAAACTAAAAAAAAGAATTCATTTTATTCATTAATAATTAGTTATTAAAAAATAAAATATTCTTTAATAAATTGGTAAGTTAGTATATTTGTAATTATAGAATATTTTTTTAAAGTTGTAAAAAAGAAAATTTATACAAATGATCTTTTTGTTATATCATCTTATTGTTAAAGTTTAAAGTTTTATATAAGGTAAATAAAGAAAATTTATTCAAGCATGTCTATAAAATGATTAAGATGTATTTAAACTCTTCTCTTGATTTTTAATAAAGCTTCTCAGAATTTTAATTTTATAAATAAACAATAACTAAAGATTAAAAACAACTTTATAAATAGATTAAATATATAAATTTATTTATTTATATTATAACCTTTCAAAAATAATAATCTTTTTTAAATATGCTGATTGCAATTATTAATTTCTCTAAAAGATTAAAAGTTATTTATAAATAATAAATTTATTTAATTTTTCATAAAATAACAATTTAAGATTTTTTTATAAAACTTACAACTGAAGAAATATATTCTGAGTATAATATTAATATTATAGATTCTAAAATAATAAAATATATTAAAATAAGCAAGATACAGAATATGATTACAACTCAAGTTAGTTTAATTATTATATTATAGAAATTATAACAAATGTAAAAATATATATGAAGGTGTGATAACCTAGTGAATTAGTCATGTTGTCAACCTTCCAAGTGGTAGGTTTAATGTTCAAATCCTATCAATAGTAAAAATTTGAATAATTACCTATGTAATATTTGTATTACAGTAACTGTTACTAATAATTAGATTAGAATATCTGTAATAATAGTTACATTAGCATAACTGGCAGGTTATAATGAATCTGTATAACTTGTTATATAGAAAAATACAAACTGACAAATCAGACAATACAAATACTAAATAAGTCTTTGTGGTTATGTAAATCTATTAAAATTAGATAACAAGAAGTTTATTTGAGATGACCTAAGTAGAAAGATAGCCAGATCTTTGACGGCCTTACTGTAAAGGCTAATTTGAAAAAACAGATACCAAGGTCATAGTACCTAGTCATAGTAACTAAACAGACAAAAACCTCTGGGTTGGAAGTCTTGAAGGTACTACCAACCAGGTCACTAAAACAAATCAGAGAAAAAAGATATTAGGCCAACCTGATATACTAATGAACTGATCATAGTTCTATATAGGTTATCTGAATTAGAAGTTTAATAAAAAGGCTGAACAAAAGGCAGCAGTATACTAAAGTATTGGAATTATACTGTGAAGTAGATGCTAGGATCTGTATAAACTCTATAAGATCACAGCAATTAAATGATATAACTCTGATTAAAGTATTAGTTCTGCTATAGTGACACCTAAGTTAGTTGTAAAAATAAGTACAGAAGGCTCTAAAGAGTTTATCTCAAGAATAAATTAGTTTTAAGATTAAGATAATGATCTGGGTATCTAAGTACAATCTAGTAAATTAATACAGATTACAGGTTTAAAGAGTTTAAAATAGAACATCCAAACAGAAGTATTAGATATAGCAATTGGTAGAGAACCTTCAAGCAGACTCCTTAAATAGGTAATATAAAAAAGTTACATATATAGTGAATTGTACTCTCTTTTGTAGTAGTTTATAGAATCACATTACTAATAAGTTGTTAATAAAAGTTAAAAGACCAAAGAGATCATCTTAATACTAAAAAAAAAAAATAATAAAAAAATATATATATTATTAGCTCAAAACAGATATAGTAAATTCAAATTTAAAACTACAATAAAACTACTTCATAATTCTAATAAAAAATATACACTAAGCCAACTTGTATTTTCTAGTCTTTTTATAATTAGAAAAATCAAATCACAAACTAAACTTACATAATAATATTATTAATTGTATTTAACATTATAGTGAAAAATAGTTTATATAGTTATATACTAATATGCAAGAAAAGCAAATTGTTATTTGTTTAACTAAAATGATTTGGTATATCAAAATGTATAATTATAGAAAATTTAAAAATTATAGTTATTACAAAACTGATCTTTTTCTTAAGTTTTTTGGTTATACAAATTCAAAATTATACAAATATTTATAAAAACACTTTGATGTAAATAAATTAAGTTTATATTATCAAACCTTTGCTTTATATGCTACTTTATAATAGCTATTAAAAGAATATTTCAATTAACTCTGTAATGCATTAGACAGTTTTGTTGTATCTATTTAGGATTTTTGCAATACTAATATAAAATTACTACTATTAATTTGCATTAAAAATTTTTATAAAAACCATTAATTAAGTTACAATAATACAAATATTTTTAACTTATACAGTTATTTAACAATTTATTACTATAAAAATCAGTTAACTTTGGAGAATTTTTTTTAACAGATTCTGTGTATATATAAAAAATTAAATAAATAAATAAAATTGTAAATAAGATTAGTATTTGAAATTTGAATATATTATTTCTTAATTTATAAGATTTTTCAAGCAAATTTGTTTAAAAAATTATTAAAAAGATGCCTACAATTTAATTTTTTTAAATTTTAAAATATTTAAATAAAATTTTATTTGATAATATTTAAAAATAAGAATTATATTATAGCAGTATTTAATTTTATATTATTAAAAAAAATATAATTTGCTTATAAGCTAAAAATAGACAAATTTAAAAAAATTTTTAATCAAACAAATTATTTACAAATTTTTGGTAACTTTTTAAATATTAATTTTAAGTCTTTAGTTCTTAATATAATATTTTAGTTTATATAAAAAATAATAATTTTTATTAGTAACAGTTTTGCAATTTACTTATAAAAATTTAGATTTATATAAAATATAAATTTTTTTTTAGTTTTAAAAATATATAAAATCTTAAAAAATTTTTTATAATAAAGTTTATAAAATATATTTTTAAGAATATATTTTATAAGCAAAATATATATATTTTATATTATTAATAAATTTATTTTATTTAAAAAATACTAAATACAATTTAATTGTTCAGTTAAATTTGTCTGAAATACAGTTTAAAAAATAATATAAAATTTGAACTTCTATGAATATTTTTTATTTTTTTTATTTTTTTATTAGTTTAAAATTGTCAACAAAAAAATAAAAAGTAGTTATTTTTAAATTTACCTTAATATTTAAAGTACACTTATAACATTTTAAAGAGTAGTTTCAATAGTAATAAGTCTTATATTCAATATAAACTATACAAAAACAATTACATTGTCTTAGTATATAAAGTTAATAAATGTTCTTTTGTTATAGATAAAGATGCATTATATATAAGGTTTGTCTTATATATTTTTTTTCAAAATTAAAAATTATTAATTTAATATAGAAAATAATATTTTTAATACAATCTTAATATAAACAATCAATAAAGAAGCTAATAAAAAGAAGATTTTACAAGAAAATAAATATATTATAAGTGAATTGCAGAAAGATGCATCTTATTATCATACTTGAGCAATGCAAATAAACTATTTGTATATTTATAAATTGCTTTTTTCAAAAACTCAGTCTTTTTTTTTATACAATTTATAGAATACTAATTAATAATGTTTTTGTAGTCAAAACTATAAATTAAGCAAAGATTAAGAAGCATGTTAGAATTACTTTAGATCTTAGGAACTCAAAAATAATAATTGATTTACATGAGCATAATAGCAGAAGATTTGGTAAATATAATGTTTTTTGAGAAGTTATAGTTTAATTTTTTGAAGAAAAAGCACTTGATATTATTACTGTAATAGATAACATAGGCAAATCCAATTGTATATTTTGTAATTGCAATATTAGTAAATGATCTTTTATATCAAATTGAAAATGAATGTTTAACTAAAATACTAATACCTAATGCACAATAGTTAAAATTACAGTTTTGGTCTAAGAATTTAATATAACTTAGTAGTTTACAATTTATTAGTTATCTATCTTTAAAATTTATAATTCAAATATGTCAACTATATGCTTATCATTAAGATGCTTATTATGCATCTGTAATCTTTTATTGTAAATAAAATTTATTATAAAATTTTAGAAAATTATAAATCTTATTTTTATAAATAACAAGCATTGTTGTAAAGTTAATAAGTTCAAATTTCTTGTAACTGCAATTGAAAAAAAAGCTATAGTTAGTAATAATATTATATTTATAGTTACTAATTATAATTATATTAAAACATGTATTATATTAAGTATAACAATAATATATAATATTCCTAAATCAATTAATAGTAATCTTTATGTAAGCAAAATATATATAGAATTAAAAGATTCAATATTTTAACCTTCTTTACCTCTTTATCATATAATAGAGCTATATAACATATTCTTTACAGAAGAGCTAGTCAATAAACCTATATTATATC